AAACCCCTAAACCCTGAGCCCTAACCCCTAAACCCCAAAACCCCTGAACCCGAAACCCTAAAGGTTTAAAACCCTCAACCCCTAAACCCTAAAGCCCCTAAACCCTAAACCCTAAACCCCAAACCCCTAAACCCTAAACCCCAAACCCTAAACCCCTAAACCCCAAAATCCCTAAACCCCTAAACCCACTAAGAAACCCTTTAAGGAACCCTTCAAGGAGAGATCAGGCAGAGACCTCCCACCCCTAAACCCTGAGCCCGAGCTTCATGCTCCACCCAGCCGTCGAGGCTTCGGTCATAGGGCACCTGCCGAAGAGGGTTTCGGTGGGTAGGGTTTAGGGTTTAAGGGTTTAGGGTTTAGGGTTTAGGGGTTTAGGGGTTTAGGGTTTAAGGTTTAGGGTTTAGGGTTTAGGGTTTTTATTTTTCAGGGTTTAGGGTTCAGGGTTTAGGTTTTAGGGCTTGGGGGCTTATATAGGGTTCAGGGTTTCGGGGCCTAGGGCGCCCAGGGCCCATTAGCTTAGAGTTTAGGCTGCAGGGCTGGGCTGGGCCACATCCAGGGTTAGGAAGAGGTCGCACTGTCAGCTGTGGCTCCTACATTGGGACACACGTGGGGTTGCCAGAGTATGAAAACTAATACTTGCGGGGGGAAGGGGGTCGGACGGGTTTAGGACATACGAGTCTTAAGGACGAGGTTCCCCTAAGCCCTACACCCTGGGCTGAGTCTTGTGCTTTTGTGTCTCGAAATCCGGGTGCGGATGCTTTAAGCCGACACGGCTACCTATACAATCCTACACAATTATCGGTATGACCCTACCTCGCTTCCCTTTCTGAACGCTGCACAGCTACCTGTCCAGTAGGGTGCCGGGTACTGCGTGATGGGTAGTCTGAAGCTTATATATGGTAACCCTAAACCCTAAACCCTAAACCAGGCAAATAGCCTCCCCTAAGGAAACTGGACTTTCAGGGTTTGTAAGACGGGGGGGGGCAGAGCTCGGATGCGTTTTGCGCGGGTTCTGAACGGTTATCGCCACCTGAGGCGGTTGAGTTCGGGATCCCTCTGAACCCAATTCCAGATAGTGTAATAGCCCTTAACCCTCTAAACCCTAAGAACCCGGAGAAAAAAACATAAAACGCACTTGAAACAATGCATGAGCCCTAAACCCCATAACCCCCAAAACCATACAGCAAGCCCTGCTAAAACCCCCCCGTCGCTCAAAATCCCTGCAGCCTCCTAGACCCTAAACCGTTTGGACTACCGGGTTTCTCGGATTCTCTGGCTTGGCGCATTGGGGCTTCGGGACCGGTTTAGGTTTAGGGTTTAGGGGTTTAGGGTTTAGGGTTTAGGGTTTAGGGTTTAGGGTTTAGGGTTTAGGGTTCGGGTTGAAGGTCCGGGAGGGTTGCAGCAGGTTTCCCTCTGGCTGCTAGCCTGAACCCGGCTTCAAGCCGGGAAACACAGCTTGGGCAGTTTGGGGTTTAGGGCCTAGGGCTTGGGGAGCTTAGGGTTTAGGGTTTGGGGAGTTTGTAATTTAGGGTTTGGGACCCTACACCCTAAACCCTAAACCCTGGGGTTTAGGGATTTAGGATTTGCAGTTTAAGGTCAGGGCATGAGAGCTCTGCGCCTTCAGCAGTACTCGAGGCTCGCCGTCCAGCGGATCACCCGTGGCCAAGAACCTGCAGCAGAAGAACAGATTCTTGAATTACGAGGCTTGGTTTAGAGCCCTTTGGTTTTATGTACAGGTTTACATTAGGGTCCCTGGCGCAGGCCGAACGCCGCCGAAAAGAACTTAGGCTTTTGATAGTTTCCCCCTAAACCCTAAACCCTAAACCCTGTACCCTATACCCTAAACCCTAAACCCTAAACCCTATACCCTAAACCCTAAACCGGCCCTGGGCCCTAAGCCCTCTGCCCTATACCCTGTACAAGTCACCCCGGCTTCGCCGCATCGCGGTCCCTGACGAGGGAGCTCTCGGCCAGGCAATAATTAGGGTTTAGGGGTTTTAAGGATCTATAGGGTTCCTTAAAGGGGTTTAGGGTTTAGGGGTTTAGGGGTTTAGGGGTTTAGGGGTTTGGCGGTTTAGAGGTTAGGGGTTTAGGGGTTTCGGGGGTTTAGGGGTTTAGGGGTTTAGGGGTTTAGGGGTTTAGGGGTATAATAAGAACCTGATTCGTCCTTCGGTATCGCTGCCTAGTATGGCCGTCGTGGTCCAGTGCGGTAGCGACCTAGCTAAAGCTTTAGCTTTCCCGGGGTGCCGACAGTGCCGTCGACCCCGCATCCCTGGACATCATCGCACCCTATTTTTCCCTTCCAGCGGGCTGTGAGAGGGGGTGCGCCCATCTTCGAAGCAGCTCCTAGCATCATGAGCATCAGGGGCACCCTTTCGGGCGCTTAGAGGAAGCCTGGAGCGTCTTTGCGATTTTGTCGTGAAATGGAATTGCACAATCTTCAGGGCGGCGGTACAGCATGAAAGACTCCACGAAGGAGAAAAGAAGCTCCAATCGTATCGATGATGTTCCGCGGTCTCAAAGGCCGCAAGGCAACGAAAAAAGGAAACACCAACGGTGACAATGATGCTGCTGATGCTTGCGTACCCCTAAACCCTAAACCCTAAACCCTAAAATCCTAAAACCCTAAAACCCTAAAACCCTAAACCCTAAAGGGCTCAGACTCAGAGTTTCAAAGTGTTTTGTATCTGCGCGCGGGGACTGCGAAGCACGTACGGCTTAGGGCTCAGGCTTAGGCTTAGACTTTGTGTCCTGCCGGCCATGCCGGCCTGTGCCGCCAGGACCTAAAATATGTGTGTGCATGCATGCATATATATATATATATTATATATATATATATATGTGATATAAGTATAGCGTGCCCCTCACCCAGCAGGCAGCCTGCGAAGCCAAAACGTTCGAAAACTCTGTTTGATAGTTCTCCCCCCTAGACCCTAAACCCTAAACAGTCTGGATGCTGGCTCCGGCGTTGCCTACCCTCCACGGTGCGGTGAGGGGCCTGCGTTCTGACGTGCAGCTTAGGGTTGAGGGGTTTAGGGTTTAGGGATTTAGGGTTTAGGGGTTTAGGGATTTAGGGTTTAGGGGTTTAGGGTTTAGGGGTTTAGGGTTTAGGGTATTCGGATTTAACTTGCCTCGGATAGGCCCTCAATCCTCGCATTCTCAGCCCTGAGTCATCGCACAAACTCCTGAACCCTCCCCCAGAATCCTCGAAGCCGAATGAAACCCTGGAGACTTTTAAACCCACCTCCACAAGCCGTGGCGCGAAAACTCCGGCCCCCAAGCGCTTGAAAATGCATAGCAGAATGTGACCGAACGAGTTTTGAAGCAGGCAAACAATGTGGGAGTTTCCGAAAATTGGGGGTACCTTATTTTGGGGTCTTTATAATAGGATCCTACTATTTAGGGTACTATACTAGGGCCCCCTATTTTCGGAAAACCCCCATGTTCCAATCATGAAGAAAAGACCTTTACACCAGCCTTACACCTGACACGATCTGAGTCTCCAAGCTCTGATAAAGCTTTAGCCTGAGAGCCCGATCCAATGTGGGAGTTTCCGAAATTTAGGGGTACCTTATTTTGGGGTCCTTATAATAAGGATCCTACTATTTAGCGTACTATATTAGGGTCCCCTATTTTCAGAAACCCCCCATGTTGCTTTGACCGCAAGGACCCCCAAATGCCACCGTTGCATCTGCGGGGCCTCGCTCGGAGGTTTCGCTCATCCCGTCGGAAGAAGTCCTCACACTCACGACAATGATGATACTGGTTGCACTGGTGGGGCGTATGGTGCTGGTGGTGCTGGTTGAGGCGATGAGTGTCGGTGAGGGCACGGACATAAATGGACAGACTGCGAGCTACAATCATGCTACAACAATCCATGTTCTGCTCTGCAAAGAAGTACTTAACCCTACATCCTAAACCCTGTGCGCACAACGTGCATCCGAAAAGCGCAGGGCAAATCTCCAACTGCATATGCTCCGTGGCGAGCTGGAGCAGATCAGAGCAGAAAACGTATACTGTATAATGTGTACTGTAGGGTTTAGGGTTTAGG